TATCGTTATAATACATTCAAATAATGCACCTCTCGGAAAATTGACATAATGTCTTGATAGAAATCAGCAATGGTTTCCTTGATCGGCACAATAGGCTATGCCGGAATTAAGTTATGATGAAAGAGAAACAACCAAAGCTTCAATTACAGTCGCATGCGACGGATATCAAACTAATTTCATCATAACGCCTGGATGCAACTATTCGAACTCTCTGGATGTCAGGGTTGCATACGCACGAGATTGAAGGCGTTTTGACTTCAGACAATTTCCGCCTCGCTTTCACTACCGCTGGGGTCTCTTCTGTAAGAATTAAGGTATACAGCTTGAAAATGATTTGGAATTCAAAGGCAAAAATAAAACTTAAACAAATATTTGAAACTGAAATATTGTCTAAGCTTCATTAAAATGTGAAAAAAACCAGCTTTGACTAAATTACCGCACAATTGTCACTGGAAACTCTCTGCCTCTCACAATTCTCATTCTTTGCCATGGTGCAGAGGAGACACTAAAGTGTGTTATTAATTATCCGGAAGGGGTGCATACTTAGTATTTTCCTCTTTTGAAAATATACATGGTTGAAAGGTTCAAATTTATAAAATCATTTTATCAAAATAAATAAAAATTCTAACTAAAAAATGAATTTTTTGCTTAACTTGTTGGCACGCCCAAATCATTTTTCGCAATCATCGTGGTATGAAAGGCCTTTGAAAGATTTTTCAAGCTGAAAGTATTTAAAGATTATTACGAAAAGTTAAAGACGAGAGAACACTACCATGTACTTATCAATGTAATCTGCAATTCCAGGAAAACTTGAAGAGTAAGATTATGAAATAACATGGCCAGAGGGTGTGATTATGTGGATGGTTATGATTACCTACTTCGTATTTTCAATTTTCGCTAGAATATGATTTGCTTTCAGGTATAAACTCCCTCCGGCTGATTTGAGAATGATCAGATCGCGATGACTCGATAAATGATGATATTACCAGAGAGAACTATTTTTTGGTGACTTTCATGACCAACAGTCAGAAGCAGAATAAGAACTGACGGACCCTAATTATTCATCATTAACGAAGATCTCTGTCCAAATCAAGTTACACAATCTCATTTTTGAATTCCTGCATCTGAAAATATTTCCAAAGTTTGATGCCTCCCATTGGTGCAAGTTAAAATCACGCACTCCAAGATATATACTCCGGATTAGAGAAAAATATAAACTCCACAAAATCATCTCGTCTGGTACTTGCAAATTCAATATGCATAACTTTAAGAAAAATATGTATCATAAATTCCAAAATGACTCAAATGGAGGGTGAATCCTTAATACGCGATATTCCGATACAACGGGGTCGTAATCAATGATTAAAAAATCTAAGGAATCAGGATTTTAAATTGGGGATACTCAACTGCTGAGGCGTAAAGTTCTAGAATGTGAGCTGTATACGCTCTTGTTACGCAAGATACTGTTGAGCAGAGCTTTACTTACCCTGGTAAAAATTGGCAATAAGAGCTGCGTTCCAAAATACCATAGGAATTCTTATAGCCGGCTAAAGAAGGCTACAGAAAATCATATAGCTGGCTGTAGGATGCGGAGAAAATCATACGGCCGGGCTACACGAGGCGATAAAAAATTATGCAGCCGGGCTATAGTAGTATAGTTCCTATCGCCGGGCTTTACACTTTATCGCCTGGCTGTTGCTTTTTTGCCATCGATTATAAAAGGCTATAAGAAATTGTGTAGAAATTCGTGTGCTTTGGAAATCATTAAGTTTGACACGGAATCACCTTAATATTTACAAAACACACATTATATTTTCCTTTAATACATATTTTTTTTCATCAATTAAAATTAGAACAATCCATACAGGATGTGCAAACATTTCAAAATCATGAGTTGAATAACGCTGACTCCGCCAGATTACCTAACACAAAGCGGAGCGGCGCGGCGACGCACTGGCGCCTACAAACCTAACAGGGATACTTCACGCATTGCGCAACGCGTGAAGTATCCCTGTTAGGTTTGTAGGCGCCAATGCGTGGGTCGCGCTGGCTGCCCGCCTGCCACGGAGCTTGAAGCAACTATTTCACACCAGAGGTATTGCACAGTATCATACGAAACTGAAGGCGTTCTAATATATTAGGAATGGCAGGCATCCGTCAAAAGTACGGAGCTTTCCTCGTAAAATAAATCAAGATACTACGGCCCAAGAAGAGAACAGTGGTCCAAAAACTCACTAAGTCCTAGCATCTGTAATTAGTGACGTTTAGCATACACTTTATTGCCTGGCTGTGAGTGGCTAAAAAGGCTATGAGAAATTGTGTAGCCGGCTATAGAAGCTACTGGAAATCTTACAACCGGCTGTAGGTCTATGGTATTTTGGAACACAGATTCTACTGCCAATGTTTACCAGGGTAGTACGTTTATTGATTTTAATGGTTTAATCTACAGAAAACGTCGGAAACCTTGGCAACGTCGATTTGCAACGTTGCAGATTACTTTTCATTAGAAGCTCCTTAATTGGATACTTGGTTGGAGTTCAATAATACGGTAGGTAAAACGGTGTATTATTTTTCCCTTAAACTATAACTTAGTGTAGTAAATTTCAAACATTAATAGATCCAGTTCGATGTGATCTCCCCACCCCTTTTTCATTTTCTCTACCTTCCTTTTATTTCTCTCACTTTTTGTTCTCTCTCTTTCAAGTGTACCTATTGTTTTTTAAATTTTTTAACTCTTATACTTTTATTGTTTCTATGATTGTGTTTCTTCATTCTCTTTCTTCTTTACAAGTTTTATTATTTCTTTTTTATTCTATCTTACTTTTTTATTGCATTTGTATTGATTCACTGGTGATTTTTTTTTTTTTGAGTAAAAGTGTTTGCAAAAAATTTGTCCGTGTACCCTCAACTATAAATCAATTTTCATTTCGGGCAAAATCAAGGTTTCATCCAATCAAGGTTCGCGCAGCTTCTTGCTTTGGGACTTTATTTATTAAGATTATATCAGTCAATTCTAAAATTGCATCTTAGCGTTATTTATTTAACTATTAATAATACGTATGAAAGTTTGAGCTTTTTCAACTAATCATAAAGATATGGGTGTTTCATATTTTATTTTTGGTGTCTGCAGAGCTACAATACCGGAAAATATGGGAAGGGTGTAGGAGTAAGCTTTACGCAATTTCTCGAAAGAGTTTAGTGAATTAGCGTAGCACTAAAAAGGGGGGTTGAGTAGGTGGAGGTCAGAACACAGATCATCCAGCGTTACGTACTTTATGAACGTCCCATGAGCATTATAACTCCGAGCTGGATAATAATAATTGCGGGTGACATTTCGGACAAAGCGCGATTCGACAGACGGCACGTGGAAAGTCCTCGGAAGCCTTGACGAGAACCGAAACGCGTGGTGACGCTCCGCAGACACGCGCGCACTTAGTTTTCAAGTGGATGAAAATCGCCAATCGAACGTAATTAGTTTATCGAGCGGAAGTCCAGTCGAATTAAGAGGCGCTGCGTCCCACTTCCTCCTCGTCGTTAATTCTTAAGTTTTAGTGCGCATCCTTTGAATATATTCCTTCGGCGCGTTGGATTTTGCCTCTGTATCGCCAAATCTTTGCGACGGCTCGACACACCCTGAAACAAAAAAATAAAAAATTTAAATAGATAAAATGGGGTTGATGACGTTATTAGTAGTTAAGAGCCGGAAATGGATAGAAATTACCGGAAATAGCCATAAGTAGAAAAAGCTGCCGGAAAGGAACGGTAAAAAGCCAAAATTAGTCGAATAGAATTTGACTGACACATATGGTTGCTGCCCTCTGCGGGGAGAGGTGTAAATGGTTTTCTGTAGAGGGGAGATGGGAATGGGGGGGGGGGTTGGAAGAAAGTACTGGGTGAAGAAGACAATTATTCTAAAAAAAGTTGACAGGATACATATGAAGCATGTTGGGTTCATAAGGCAAACATTTACTTCTTCCAACTTTTAGAGAAGTTGAATAAAGTTGTAATTGTTTTAGCACGTTCGATTTTTTTGAGCGAAAGCTTAAATTATAGTTCAAGATCAGTGAAAGTCTGAAAATTTAAAAAGTCAACGTTGATATTTTTAGATCTTAACTTTTTCTCACTATTATAATTCCCATTAGGATTTGTGCTCTGTTACTTCTTTAGTGTGACCGAAGGAAAATTAGAAAATTCTTTGTAAGGTTTTCGATTGAATTCACTTTTCTCAGTCCGCCATTTGACAATGTTCAATAATGCGAGGAATTACTTCTCTCTCACTTTTTTATGAAGTTGCGATTTAAAAAGTGCTATCTAGTGGTAATGCCTCAGTTTTGTAAAAAAAATAGACAAACTCTTTGACCATTTATGTTTTATTTTACAAATATTCGAAAGAAGGGTAGCTTTTTTTTTGAATACCCGGAAGGTTAAACACTAGGTAATACCCGCAATCAAAATATTCTGATTCATGGTTTCATTTTAAAGGAAAATATGTCTGATTCTACCTCATTAATATTTATCATTTTTGTATGACGTCTAAAAGTATTCTCAGAGAAACATCTACTCTAACATCAACTTTCAATATCTGGATTCTCTTGTTATCATAGTCTCCTTTTGCAATGAGAGTTTACGACGGTAACAATCAAAGTAAATTTATCCTTCCAATATACAAAATACATCCTGTCAGTTTTTGTATACGTGTTTGCCATTCATCAAAAATGAAGGCGCTAACGATGACAAATTGACCGAGGAAGGTACTGGAATGACACATGAACTCATTATAACTTCCAAAGCATAAAAGGGAACCAGTCTTTTTCAATATCTTTCATACATTTCTGAAATTCCATGAAATATTTCACTTGAAATTTCAAGATTATATTTTACATGAAATTTTGCCACCCTGACTCAGTAGTTTCCCCTTAAACACGACTTTCATCAAATTTCTGACACTTACAACATTTCCACCATCATAGTTTCAAAAACGTTTTGATGGCTTGTCACCGATGATTCGTACCGAACCCAAGAGCGCTTTGATGCACAACTTATGGAACCGGTTTACAACATGTCGACTTCTAGAACTAGAGCTTCCAGAACTTCTAGCCGAACGAGGGATGAACCCCGTGACGTCAGCGCACGTGCGTGAGCGGTGGCGGTCGCCTACGTCTGGCGTCATGTCCTCAACGGCGCTTCGTTTCTCACGGCTAACGGCTCATAAAGTCTGGAACAAAACGGGTCCGGGTTTTTGGGGGTGGCTCGGATGGGGGCAAGAGCGGATGCCGGGGGGCGCGGAGGGTGGAAGGTGCGCAGAAAGGACGTCCAGGAGATTCGCGGAAGAAAAGCCGCCTGGAAAGGCTTCGACACTCAGAAGGAGCAGCAACTCAGCACTCAGTTCTGTCGCCGTGCAAAAGGCGCTCGTCAAAGGTTTCGCCACCTGTCCTCTAGGATCCCCGTAAGTTGGACTTTTATCTTCCTTCAGATTTTTCTTACCGTATGTCTCTTTAGGTTGTTGCATTGTTCGAACGGATGTTTCGAAAACCCTGCACCAAAAAAAAGTGAAGTGAATTTAACACTCTGGATGTAAAAAAGGTGTGCGAGAACTCACAGAATGCTAACTTACCCGCTGCTGTAGTTACTTTTACATCTTGACATTGCTAAAGTAACCACTGCACCAGTCAATTCAGTATTTTGCAAGTTCTCGCACGCACTTTTTTTACATCCAAAATGTTAAATCAACTTCACTTTTTTTTCAGGATCGTCCCCATGCAGCAGTGATCGCGCTAAGTTGCAAGAGTGTACCACGAATTTATCGATGTCAATCTATTGCAATATTGCCGGAAAGAAATTGCAATAAATTGCGATTTCATCGCATAATGCAATAAGATCGCGATTTTATCCATGGTGCTCTACTGCAATATTATCAAACAAAAATCGTGACAAATTGTGATGAAATTTCGATTTGATCAAACGCAGCTTTATAGAGATGAAATCGTGACAAGGTTGAGGATAATCGCTCAAATGTTGACGATCCGTGCGATTTTATCGCTAAAAAATCGTAAAGAATCGCAACTTAATTTAATAATATTGCGATTTTTCTGTTAAAAAATGCTACTTGGGTTGGTCACTATGAGTGACGATCAAATGAATCGAGTTTAATAGGAGCGCAACAAGTCGCATCAAATTTGAACCGAGAAATGGAGTTTTCTTTTACTCCTCCATAAGACTCTACGTTGAGAACAACATTTAACAGCTATTTTCACACTTTAAATATTTTTTCTCACCTTTTAATTTTTGAATTTTTGACCGGAGACAATGCACGACTAGATGAATTGGAAGAATTCATGCTAAAAGGAACTATATTGAACGCAACAACTTTGCATATAGTTCCTTTCAGCATAAATATTAGGACAAAAATGGAAAAATGTTAAATTAAATTAGCAAAAATGTTGAGGACAAAATTTAACGGCTACTCTCACGTTCAGAATATTTTTTCTTGCTTTTGAAATTTTGACCGAAGACAATGCATGACCAGATGGATTGGACGTATTTTTTTTAAAAGGAACCATATTGAACGCAAACACCATGCATAATGTTTTAGCCAACGTGCGGTAAACGTCCAGATAACTGGGAATCTCAAACAGAGGGAAACAGAAGGTGCACTTTGTGACCATTCATACAGTTCCGTTTAGCATGAATACGTACAAATTTCAATAAAGTTATGTTATCGCAAATTTTAGTTCCAGTCGTGGGATGCATAACCTCTCATTGTCAGTTCGAGACTTGAACTTTCATTGCCATTTCTTTATGCTGCGCTACGAGACGTCGCGTCGCGTTGGGATTTTTGAAGCGGTTGCATGTTTGCCTACCTTCCACTTTTCCGGCGCGAAAATTATCTGAGAATACCACCGAGGCAGATTTATTGATTGAGAATTGCGGTTTTACGGAAACTCTATTCCAATCGATTTAAACACTATACCCAGTTTTCTTTTAAATCCCAATCTCTGTAGAATACAAGGAAAAATATTCTTAACGGTTATAATGGTTTGATCTGCGCATACAAAACAGAAATCTCGATGCTGGTGCAACCACGGGACTACGGTCTCGGTTTATGATGTTCCAGATTTTTTGCTAAATTTACTTCTGTTTTTTTAAATTATGTTTGTAGCACAAAAGTTTTTTGATTTTTTTGTACCCTCTCAAGAGTATTATTTAAGAAAACTTTGCGATACTAAATTTTAAACCAATGAAGAGAAAACACAGAAAAAGTTTTGTAGTCCGTATAACTCAAGGCTTTCCTTTGGCTCATCTCTAAGTGTACATACGCCCTCCTGTCAGCCAAGCGTCATAAGCTTTCACTAATGAAATGAGGTATTTAAGAAACGACCGTGATTACAACCGTAAGTCTATGTAATGAAAATAAATCGATATCTGTTTATGAAAGGACCCTAATCAGACCATCTTCCTAAAGTTCAATAATTGTGGACGAGCCAGAATATCCACCAGAGTATCTGCAGCGAATTTCTTATGCAGATAAAGCTCTTCCGCGTGAATGCTTCCAACTTCCTCCTTACTTTGAGACAGCTTAATTCATACGTAGTTTTTTTTCGTTTGAAAAAGCGACTGACTGTTATTTTCAATCACGTATGAATCGCGCGCTAGCAAAAAATATTGGTAATTGGGAACTAGTGCTTCTGGTGCAGTTATTGGCATTGAATTTCGAGTCGGTCATTGTATTCGGTTCATCTAAATAGCACTAAGATACGGATTAACGGATTTAAAATCTAACGAATTAAAAATTGCTAACGTTCTAGAGTAGACCGATAAAAGTTCAAATGAAAGTTTGCAACGTTGCAATGGAACTGAACTTGCAGAAAAAACTATTTAATGCTCATGTATAGAGACGTAGGTCAAACTATATCACTGTTAAGTACCAGCCTTGCCCGAATTAGTGTCTGTGGCCATTTAACTCTCGAGCTGGTAAGTACCCAAATGTATTTTGTGAGGCCGGATACTGCTCTAGGATCCAGCCTCACAGCCGTTTTCCGCGTTTCCTCTAATTGGTCAATAAGTCGTAATTAATGTTCTTTGCTTTTCCTTCCGGATCGACCAGGAAGAAAGACAGGCATACTTTTCAAAGAGAGTTATTTTTAAAATAGGAGTATAGTAGTTAGCATTAAACTGTATCCTTCAAAATCAGGGTTCGTCCTGTATGTACCAAGCTTACAAGTGTGGCGTTCTTCCCGTTTGAAGGCGCGTTGACGCAGTCGATCCTACGCTAGCATACCTCATAGAGGTAAATGTCCGTTTCCTTTAAATTGAAAGGATATACGAGAGGTGGATTCGTTTCTACGGATACCGCTAATGAGTCTCTGTGGCTAGAATTAGAATCACTTTTACACCAAGAGAACAACGTGTGAGGTCTCTAGAATATAATTGAATGGTGTTTGTTGAAGAAAAGAACCAAGTGCATCGACACGGTTTTGAGGCATCAAGTTTACGAAAATTCAGTTTTACTTTTGCCAGTTCTGAAACTAGAAAAAACGGCTCTGTTTTGATTAGATGTACCTATTATTTTCTTTTTGCCAAAAGCGTGACTTCCAATTCCTGAGATGTATACTTTTATATTAGACGTTTCTCTGCCACATTGCACTCTGGTAATTATTGGAGAAGACTCAATAAAGTAGAATCAAGAGCTTAGTTTTGTCTGTTGGTATGGATTCAGAACCCTTTGAAAACCAGTAGGGTATCCTGCATTAAACCCCAACAAGTCGTTTTGCAAAATCAGTTGCCTTTCCATTGATGCTGCCAATGTGATTCAAGGTTTGATTATGGCCTCTCGAGTTAAAAGATTAAAGAGGGAAAGCAATTAGATTCTTCCTAGTTGAATGTAGAGTACTAAAATGATTAGGAGCTCATGACTTCATGAAGCACTTTGGATAAAACAAAAGTTCAACGTTGCATGCAGATGATTTAAAAGTGTAGAAAGCTAGGTTGTATTTGCTCGTATCCCCGCAAAATTTACTGAAATTATTTAGTGAGGCTATTTAGTAAGGTGTATTTACTGAGTTTTGGAACCAAATCTCTGCAATACTTTCAAAAATGGGTTGTCCGCCTAAGCGTCTACAGTGGCAGGGTGGATTTTTAGTGAGGCAGGTGATGATTGTCGCACCTACGTTAAAGACTCTTTACTTTTTTCCTTTCGTATTTTTAAAATTGTTCTCCTTATGATGCCATTTTGAGGGCTTCATTTAACCTCCCTTAATCACAATGCATTGCAAATGGGACCTCCTAAGGAAAGGAAATGCTCAAGGAATGACAATGATCACGCCCCTTAGGCAAACATACGTCACAATGGTACGTTACATATCGTCCAATGGCACTGCGAAACCGGTCTTACTCCACCCAACTTGGCAGGTTCCATCTCTGGGGTGAGTGACCCTCCGAACTCTTTTCTCAATCTCTGATAATGTACTTTTGTGTGAGCAAACTGGGGTATTTTGATAAGAGGAACCTGGAGTATTGTCATGGAGGCCGTTTTGTTGACATAAGGTTTGATTTGTGCCATTTTCCAACTCCGCAACTGGACGCTGTCTTTGCGGTTCGATGGCCACCAGATAATACTGGCCAGTGAACTCGCTTGTAATTAGATGCAACTCAAAATAGTTGCTCAAAAATTGAAGATTTTTTCCTAAAATGTTTGGTGTACCACCGAACGAACCAATAAACCGCACCGCATCAGCACGAATCGGACTAAAGTTTGTTTAAAAGGGAACCACCATTTTTTGTTCATTTCAGAAACAACCAATTTGATGGTACTTTCCCCATGCAGATAGGTGCTTTCACGAATGAGCCAGAGACACTGATTTACACTGGGAAAAAAACACATTGGATCTAGAGTCCAGACTCTTGAAAACATTGACAAGAAAAAATACTCTTAATTCAATCAGATTTTTGCTTAAATTAAAAGGAAATCCGCTCAAATTAAGAGGCTTGGTTCTTGATTTAAGCAAAAATCCGATTGAATCAAGAGTATTTTTTCTTGTCGATATTTCTGAAAGTCTGGACTCTAGAACCAATGTGTTTTTTTCCAGTGTACTTAATGCAAATTATGATTGTATTGGACCTCGGCGGGAAGAAATGCTGTTGTCGTATATCAAATCGATTCATTTCGGTGGGATAATTTAATCGGTTCGTGTGAAAGAGCTTAATGATGACGATAAAATCGTTGCAAACCTCACAGAAGGACGTAACTGCACTCCGCAATGAGCCCTGTCCTCCATACAATTCAATGTTTTTCCGGGCTCATCTCAATAAGTGGTTACGCCTTTATGTCAGCCGAGCGACCATATGATGATTACCGCGCCCGATACGAAGACTTTGGTTTTGGCGACAATTTTAGGAATCCATTGTCAAATTTGCTATACATTCTGGTGCTTTCATTTGTATCCCGCA